CCCACAAAGCGTGGGGTGGGTACGGGTCCTCGGCTCGGCCCCACATGTCCCCTTCCTGCCCAGGTACCGCGGGGAGGTGAAGCACATCAAGGTGATGACGGCGGATGGGCTCTACCGCGTCACCGAGAAGAAGGTGTTCAAGGGGCTGGTGGTAAGCGTTGGAGCCCCCTTCTCTGCCCCACCACCTCCTAAACCCACATGTGTGGGTCCGCCCCCAACATTGGGGTTGAGGGTTGGTGGGGAACTCAAGGCTTGACCACGTCATCCGCAGGAGTTGGTGGAGTTCTACCAGCGCAGCTCGCTGAAGGATTGCTTCAAAGCCCTTGACACGGCGCTTGTGGTGCCCTTCAAGGAACCCGAGAGCCGGGCTGGACCCCGGCCACCAGGTAGGACCTGGGAGATGGAGGGGAGGTGGTGGGATGGAGGTGGTGGGTGGTGGGACAGAGGTGGTGTGGTCCCTCATTGTGGGTTAGGGTGGAATGGAGGTAGTGGGATGGTGGTGGTGGGATGGAGGTGGTGGGTGGTGGGACGGAGGTGGCGTGGTCCCTCATTGTGGGTTAGGGTGGAATGGAGGTAGTGGGATGGTGGTGGTGGGATGGAGGTGGTGGGGTGGTGGGACGGAGGTGGCGTGGTCCCTCATTGTGGGTTAGGGTGGAATGGAGGTGGTGGGATGGTGGTGGTGGGATGGAGGTGTTGTGGTCCCTTATTGTGGGTGAAGGTGGGATGGAGGTGGTGGGATGGAGGTGGTGGGGTGGAGGTGGTGTGGTCCCTCACTGTTTGGACCGTGCGACAATCAAAGGGGCACAAATGACCACGAGGACCAGATGGAGGGGACTTGGACAGCCGTGGAGGGTGACCTGGGGGACTCATCGGTGTCCATGTCTCTCCTTCCCCATCTCCAGGAGCCGTGCGCAGCTTTGGTTCGGCCAAAGCCCGTTACGACTTCTGCGCCCGGGACCGGACGGAGTTAACCTTGCGGGAGGGTGACGTCATCCGTGTCCTCAGCAAGAAGGGCCACCCAGGCTGGTGGAAAGGAGAGATCTACGGGCGGGTAAGGTCCCTTCCCCACTTGGGGACACCCCCTCAGGTTGTCCCGCCCCCCCCCCCTCCCATGTCTCAAGCTCCTCATACCTTCTCCCAACATGTCCTCCTCCTCTCCCAGGTTGGATGGTTCCCCGCAAACTACGTGGAGGAGGATTACTCAGAGTATTGCTGACCATGGACCCCCATCCCATCCACCACCTTGTGCCCCACTAACCGTGTCCCCAACTTCCCCCCAGAAGCCACCACATCCCTCCCCACCCTTCCTCCCCCCATTAATTTATGCCTCTTCCTGGCCAGGAGGGACAATAAACGAGGACGAGGACGAGCTGGAGGGTCGGGTTCTACGGGAAAGGACCCACACGTCCAAGTTGGGGGATGAGGTCACGGGGTTGGTTTATCCGGGAAGGGATCCAGGTTGTCCGGGCGGGCAACGAGGTCAAGGTTGTGCAATCAGTTTCTCTGGGAATGGACCCAGACGTCCGGGCAGGGATGAGACCACGGGGTTGGTGTCTCCGGGAAGAGACGTGGGCATCTGGGTAGGAATGAGATCATGGGGTTGGTGTCTCCAGGAAGGGACCCAGATGTCCAGGCAGAGATGACACCATGGGGTTGGTGTTTCCAAGAAGGGTCTCAGATGTCCAAGCTGGGATGAGACCATGGGGTTGGTGTCTCCAGGAAGCGACCCAGTTGTCTGGGTGGGGACAAGATCATGGGGACCATATCTCGAAGAAGGGCCCCAGATGTCCAGGCAGGGATGAGACCATGGCGTTGATGTCTCCAAGAAGGGAACCAGTTATCTGGGTGGGGACAAGATCATGGGGACCATATCTCGAAGAAGGGCCCCAGATGTCCAGGCAGGGATGAGACCATGGGGTTGGTGTCTCCAGGAAGCGACCCAGTTGTCTGGGTGGGGACAAGATGATGGGCACAATATCTCCAAGAAGGGACCCAGGTGTCCAGAGAGGGGACCTGGACAAGATTATAGGGTCACCTTCACTAGGAAGGAACCCAAGTCGTCCAGGTGGGGATGAGACCATGGGGTTGGTGTCCCTGGGAAGCAACCCAGTTGTCTGGGTGGGGACATGATCACGTGGACCATATCTCCCAGAAGGGACCTGGATGTCCAGGCAGAGATGAGACCACAGGGTTGATGTCTCCAGGAAGGGACACAGTTGCATGGGTGGGGACAATATCTCGAAGAAGGGACCCAGGTGTCCAGAGAGGGGACCTGGGCAAGATTATGGAGTTGCCTTCACTGGGAAGGAACACAAGTTGCCCAGGTGGTGACAAGACCATGGGGTTGGTGTCTCCACGAAGGGACCCAGATGTGCAGGTGGGGATGAGACCATGGGGTTGGTGTCTCCACGAAGGGACCCAGATGTCCAGGTGGGGATGAGACCATAGGGTTGATGTCTCCACGAAGGGACCCAGATGTGCAGGTGGGGATGAGACCATGGGGTTGGTGTCTCCACGAAGGGACCCAGATGTCCAGGTGGGGATGAGACCATGGGTTCAACATCTCCAAGAAGGGACCCAGATGTCCAGGTGGGGATGAGGCCATGGGGTTGGTGTCTCCACAAAGGGACCCAGATGTCCAGGTGGGGATGAGACCATGGGGTTGATGTCTCCAGGAAGGGACCCAGATGTCCAGGTGGGGATGAGACCATGGGTTCAACATCTCCAAGAAGGGACCCAGATGTCCAGGTGGGGATGAGGCCATGGGGTTGGTGTCTCCACAAAGGGACCCAGATGTGCAGGTGGGGATGAGGCCATGGGTTCAACATCTCCACGAAGGGACCCAGACATTTGGGCAGAGGACATGCACAAGGTCATAGGGTCACCGTCACCAGGAAGGGACCCAAGCCATCTGGTTGGGGACAAGGTTATGGGGTCAACATCTCCACGAAGGGACCCAGATGTCCAGGTGGGGATGAGGCCATGCGGTTGGTGTCTCCACAAAGGGACCCAGATGTGCAGGTGGGGATGAGGCCATGGGGTTGGTGTCTCCACAAAGGGACCCAGATGTGCAGGTGGGGATGAGGCCATGGG